ATGACATATTCAAAGAAAAATACTATCTTCATGAACCCCTTATCTTTAAGCCTTTTTAGTTTATAAAAAGTGATCAACACACCATTTTCTCTCTCTTTTTTTATATTTTAGGAACTCTTTCTTCTTTAAAATTTTAAAGAGAAAAATATAAAATAAATAAAGTTTGTGATTAAAACGTGAAACCTCAAAACATAGTGACCAAAATAAAAAGGAAAAAACTATAAGAACCAAACTATAGTTTTCCATGCCTTGTTAACAATAAAAAAGAAAAATGAGTTATTGTTTTGTTTTTGTGTTAAATTTAGTTCCAATTGTTTTAAATTTCTTAATTGATAAATCAAATTATATTTTTCAAAATTGAGTATTAATTTGGTGCGGTCACATGTTTTAACATCATAAATGATAAAATTATCAAGCTTAACATTATTTGAACAAACATTAAATGATAAAATTAAAAATACAAAAATATAGAACTATTCAAAAACAAAACAAAGGAATTGAATTCAAGAAAACTATAACAATCCATAGCATACTAAGTCTAGCACTATATTAATTGAAATAGTAGATTTTATTTATTTATTTATTTACTCTTGTGATGCTGCAAGGTGGTTTTTAAAAATATATTTTTATTTAGTTTAAAATAAAAATAGATATTTGCAATTGAAGGGTATTTCATGGGAAAATATTTTAATTAAAATATATGAAAAGGCAAACAAAAAGGTTGTATAGAAAAAGTCAAGTCATTTGGGCTTGAATGACAAGGTTTATGAGCCTAACCAAATACAAATAAACTTTGATAAACATGGACATACAATGTCAGTCTTAATATATGATATTTTTTCATTTTATTTTTTTTAATCACATAAATAACATGGTAATACTAAGTCTAGCACTATATTAATTGAAATAGTAGATAATGATTTCCTTTCAGGTTTTATTTATTTATTTATTTATTCTTGAGGTTTTATTTATTTATTTATTTATTCTTGTGATGCTGCAAGGTAGTTTTTAAAAATATATTTAATTTAGTTTAAAATAAAAATAGATATTTGTATAAAAAAATATGATTTAAATTTCCTAAATATTTATTTTTTATTTAAACAAATTATTCCTTTCTTACTTAAGCATTGTTTTACCAAAATTATTTTAGCAATATTTTTTAATTAAAGGTAAAGGCAATTAAAATAATTCTTTGTAAAAATATGAATAATTTAAATAAACAAAAAAAATATTTCTCTTCAATCTAAACTGAATTTTCTTATTAATACATTTATTTTTTTAACAAAAACATGTTTTTTTAATCATAAACATCATATTTTAAATAAAAAGACTCATCATGATCTGCAAAGAAAGTTTTAATTAAAAGAATTGAAAATCATGTTTTGATATTTTGTATGCAATCAAAGGGAAAAACAATTAATCTAATAGAATCTTAAAAAGAAATATAATAAAAAAATAACAAAATATAAATTTTATTTTTATAACCCCTTATTTTTTTTTTAAGTTTTTTTAGTTCTTCTAGACACAACAAGTTACTTCTTATTCATATTCATGCTCATTAATTAAAAAAACATTTAGCATACTAGGTTCATATATAATAATTTATGAAATAATTGTTAATATTATATATATATATATATATATATATATATAACAATTGAAGGGTATTTCATGGGAAAATATTTTAATTAAAATATATGAAAAGGCAAACAAAAAGGTTGTATAGAAAAAGTCAAGTCATTTGGGCTTGAATGACAAGGTTTATGAGCCTAACCAAATACAAATAAACTTTGATAAACATGGACATACAATGTCAGTCTTAATATATGATATTTTTTCATTTTATTTTTTTTAATCACATAAATAACATGGTAAAAAAATAAACAAATAAATAAATGATACATGATCTACCAGTAATGATTTGTCGCTAGAAAGTTGAGATCCAAGTTTTTAAATTAAAAAAAAAAGCTCTTTTCATTTATTTTTCATCTAAAAACATGTAAAAATTCCCTAAGCGTCTAAATAACTTATTTTCAACTTTAAAACACCCTTAGACCAATTAAAAATTTCTAAAATTAAATTAAATAAAAAATATATCTCAAGTCCTAATCTATTTTTATTAGTGAAATGAAAGTTCGAAAACATTTACTTTTTTTTTATCAAGAGAAACGGAATAAAACTAAGATCTTTTTTTTTTAGTAAAAGAATGTGATCAACCAATCATTTTCATTCTTCTTTCTAATTTTTCAATGACATTTTCTGTCTCTCAAAATTGATGGACCGAAACATAAAACAAATAAAATATAGAATCTAAACATAAAATTCTAAGAGTAAAGGGACAAAAAAGAAGTAAATTGAGAGTTTTTGGATGAAAAAAGAACTTTCTTTTGACATTATGAAAAAACCCCTTATTTTTTTTTTAAGTTTTTTTAGTTCTTCTAGACACAACAAGTTACTTCTTATTCTGTAAAATTGGAATCTAATTTGATTTTGAAATTGCATCAAACAAAATAAATTGTTGAGAAGATATAAACAGTTAAAATATTACAAATAACATAAGAAATGATGAAATTAATATGAAATTATAAAATTAAAAATTAATAAAGCTGATACGAAAAAGAAAAATACGGCATTGTTGAATTGAAGGTGCCATCCGAGAAAATATTTTAATTAAAATTTATGAAAAAACAAACAAAAAAGTTGTGCCAAAAAAGTCAAGTCATTTGTGCTTGAATGACAAAGTTTATGAGCCTAACCAAATACAAATAAGCTTTGATAAACATGGACATACAATTTCAGTCTTAATATATGATATTTTTTTTTTGTTTTTTTTTTAATCACATAAATAACATGGTAAAAAAATAAACAAATAAATAAATGATACATGATCTACCAGTAATGATTTGTCGCTAGAAAGTTGAGATCCAAGTTTTTAAATTAAAAAAAAAAGCTCTTTTCATTTATTTTTCATCTAAAAACATGTAAAAATTCCCTAAGCATCTAAATAACTTATTTTCAACTTTAAAACACCCTTAGACCAATTAAAAATTTCTAAAATTAAATTAAATAAAAAATATATCTCAAGTCCTAATCTATTTTTTTGTGAGATGAAAGTTCGAAAACATCTCAATAGTACTTTTTTTTATCAAGAGAAATTGAATAAAACTAAGATCTTTTTTTTTTAGTAAAAGAATGTGATCAACCAATCATTTTCATTCTTCTTTCTAATTTTTCAATGACATTTTCTGTCTCTCAAAATTGATGGACCGAAACATAAAACAAATAAAATATAGAATCTAAACATAAAATTCTAAGAGTAAAGGGACAAAAAAGAAGTAAATTGAGAGTTTTTGGATGAAAAAAGAACTTTCTTTTGACATTATGAAAAAACCCCTTATTTTTTTTTTAAGTTTTTTTAGTTCTTCTAGACACAACAAGTTACTTCTTATTCTGTAAAATTGGAATCTAATTTGATTTTGAAATTGCATCAAACAAAATAAATTGTTGAGAAGATATAAACAGTTAAAATATTACAAATAACATAAGAAATGATGAAATTAATATGAAATTATAAAATTAAAAATTAATAAAGCTGATACGAAAAAGAAAAATACGGCATTGTTGAATTGAAGGTGCCATCCATGGTGGATGCAGAGAGAGTTCACAGAGATGCATGGAGTCTTTTAGTGTATCACTGTAATAACGCAAACATGTAACATCCGGGCCCTTGAAAGTTGTTTTCGTCACATGTGATCCATAATATCAAAGGCATTCAAAGAACCAAGGGAAAGGCAGTTTAGAATTTTTCCAGAGGACATGGAGATCATGACCAAACGAAAAGCATTGGGTACTCCGAACAACCTCAAACTATGCTATTAGGATTCGATTTCTGTAGCGAATAAATTTCTTCTGACTACAAACTTTCAGTTGCAAGTCATTAGCTGATTAATGTCACAAACCTCTATGACCACCTTTTCAAGTGATAGCAACACAAGACAAGATGCCCGAGGATTCCTTGACACGGACAAACACGGCGAAATGCTTGATTACATGCACATGAAAATATCCAAAGGAATTGTTAAAATTCAGTGCTCATTCGTTCAAATAATTTTTTTTTTAGTAAAAGAATGTGATCAACCGATCATTTTCATTCTTCTTCCTAATTTTTCAATGACATTTTCTTTCTCTCAAAATTGATGTACCGAAACATAAAACAAATAAAATATAGAATCTAAACATAAAATTCTAAGACTAAAGGGACAAAAAATAAGTAAATTGAGAGTTTTGGGATGAAAAAGAACTTTCTTTTGACATTATGAAAAACCTCCCTGTTATTTTTTTTGTAAGTTATTTTTTTTGAAGTTTTTTTGTTTGTTCTAGACACAACAAGTTACTTCTTATTCTATAAAATTGGAATCTAATTTAATTTTGAAATTGCATCAAACAAAATAAATTGTTAAGAAGATATAAACAGTTAAAATATTACAAGTAACATATGAAATGATGAAATTAATATGAAATAAAGTTGATACGAAAAAGAAAAAGACGGCATTGTTGAATTGAAGGTGCCATCCATGGTGGATGCAGAGAGAGTTCACAGAGATGCATGGAGTCTTTTAGTGTATCACTGTAATAACGCAAGCATGTAACATCCGGGCCCTTGAAAGTTGTTTTAGTCACATGTGATCCATAAATATCAAAGGCATTGAAAGAATCAAGGGAAAGGCAGTTTAGAATTTTTCCGGAGGACATGGAGATAATGACCCAACGAAAAGCATAGAGTACTCCGAATAACCTCAAACCATGTTATTAGGATTCGATTTCTGTAGCGAATAAATTGTCTTCTGACTACAAACTTTCAGTTGCAAGTCATTAGCTGATTAATGTCACAAACCTCTATGATCACCTTTTCAAGTGATGGCAACACAAGAAAAGATGCCCGATGATTCCTTGACACAGACAAACAGGGCAAAATGCTTGATAAAATGCACATGAAAATATCCAAAGGAATTGCTAAAATTCAGTGCTCATTCGTTCAAATAATAATCTCGTTTTGGTATAGCATTGCTAATCATGTTTAAGTCACGCAGCATGGCCAACCATAGCTTACATCATACAATCAAAGATGAACTTACCGGAATTACAGAGGAAAAAAAGAGGTATCAATGATGATGATGATGATGATACAAGTAAAGAATAGAGTGCCTGCTCCCATCCAAGTTTTGATTTGGGAGAGGCAAACATTCACATCTGGATGACGTAAACTCCACAATGGAAAGTTTTGAGAGTATTAGCTGCCCCTTGCTGGTCCACTTGAACACTGGGTCAATATCTCAGCCCCGTCTTTTGTGATTAGAATGGTGTGCTCGAACTGTGCTGATAGGCTTCCATCTTCGGTTACAACTGTCCAGTTATCATCCCACATTACAGGGTTAACGCTACCAATTGTCAACATGGGTTCTGCATTAATTCACCATGGCAATTGGTGGGTGAGAAAGGAGGGAGGTCAGTCATTTACCATATACAATAGTCCACAAGAAAAGAAAAGGAAGCTACAACTTCCAAGTGATTCCATTTGTACATGTGAGACTAGCAGTTGAAGTTGCTAGTGCTGGGAATGGAGTCACTTGGAATGATCTTTAACTAATGGACGTGAGCACAAATCCATGTGTGTGAATGTTCAACCAATCTATTCCTGATTGACTCAATTGGTATGGAAGTTATATATAACATGGGAAAACCATAGAAAACACAACTTATTTGAATGTCAGGAGGGACAGAATCAAAACACTCACATCAAGATGTTTTAAGAGAAATGTGAAGCAATTAACAACAGAAATTTAATTCATACTGTAAATTATCGAACACCTCCCCAGAAAAAAATTATCAACAGAGATACTAAATGTTTTCATCCCTCCAAATATCATTAGATTCTCCATTCCTTGGAGCTGCAATATTACCACTTTTGCTTTGATTAGAAAACTTGAATTCATCAGGACATTTCATATCACATGCATATGAATTAATGAAGCGTGTAAGGTAAATTTCACATGTAAATACCAATAGTGAAGGTCTGATTCAACATCATACGCCCACCATCATTGTTTCCTGAAAAGAACATAACATTGTTTGTGTTAAGATTATTAATATTATCTTTTGGAAAGAAAAAAAATTGCATTAATGCTGGCATCTGGGAGAAAAAGGAGAAATAAGAAAAATTCTTTATTGCGATCATATAGGTAAGGCTCAGTCTAATAGGAAATGTTTCTGTATCTCTATCTGCAATTACATTAAGAATAGTACTCAAGGTACCAGATTACTATATTGTTGCCCAACTAGCTCTTTAAACAAACTTATCAAAAGTTCCCCTTTCATCTTTACTATATTTCAGCATTCTATGCAGATTGCTATTTCATTCGTTCCATGGTCAATAAAATAACATGAGAACCTGCAGCTCTTTTATGTTTAGCAAACTTCAGTGCATCTAGCAAATCAAATTGTGTGAGTGTCCCTTGCTCATCTTTTTCAATACTTCCAAATTCTCATTTTCATTCGGAAACATCTAGATATTGTGGAGGCTTTGATATACAATCATGCAGAATGGCACAAAAAGATCCATGTATAGCTGGCCCCAACTAGGTTGGGATTAAGGCTTCGTTGTTCCAAATCCCAGAACCTAACAAGTGAAGGGTGCAAGGGGACACCCAGCTATTATTAAAACCACATAACATGTGAAATGAAATAGCAGAGGAGAGTTCAAAGTCAGGTCAATTACTGAAGTGCTGAACAACTGGATCGGCATGGAATACACGTCCAACACCATGGCCAACAAAATGTCGGACAACACCGTAACGATATTTATCTGCATGGTCACTTGAGAAAACATAATCATAAGTGAGTATCAAATCAAAACTGAAATGTTTTTGTTTGTTTGTGTGAGCGAGCGTGGTCATGGGAAAGCGTGCATTTTTGTGTGACACATATACAAGCTAAAGATTTCGATGATGCTTGGTAACTAGAGATGAAAAGATCCCCTTGGAAGTCAGAAAAAAATTGAAATTGAAGAGATTTTAAAATTCCTCAAATATGTAGGGCATAGTTTTCAAGTTCTTCATAAAGTTGATAAAATCATTAGTCAATAAATATCATCGATTCACCAGTAGTCAATAAAATATTCACAATAGAGGATAAACCAAGGGCAAGAAATGCAGAAATTAAAACGGTAAAAATACTATATATATATATATAGTGGGAATGTAAGATTCATTATATATATATATATATATATATAATGAATCTGA